CATGACTTGAATGATTATATGATAGTTAAGCCTTAGGTCTTAGCTACATAATCGTGAAAAAAGCAGGCATTTATCACAATTATTAACGAAGTTATGGTAAAAATAAACACAGAACTCAAAAATTCTCGAAAAATCCGAAAAAAAATCATAACTCCTAAACTAAACAAAATCGGACCATATATATGGGGGTGATTTGGGTTCCTCTCGATGTGGGGAATCTAATTTTTCTTTTATGACGTCACGTGTTTGGCCACCCTGTATATATCCATGCGTGGACGGAATATTACTCATAAACAAATACATTTTTGGAAAATCTATGTATGGCATGTTATACATGACATTTGAAGGCATATTTCTTAAGTATTGGCAATTATACAGGGTGTCCCAATTTTGACCTACATATCAAAGTTGGGATTTTTTAAATTAAACGCCTCAAATTTCATTGCATATTTGGATAAACCAATTCAAAAGAACAAGATTGATATAACATACTATGGGGTTTTGGTAATTAGCTACTGAGATGTAAGGTGTTTTGTCCACAAAAACCGTCCACTTCGGCAACCCGTCAAATAATTTTGACATTTGGAGTGCTGAATTTTCGATGAAAAAAACTTACGCACCTCAGCTTTTATCTTATTTGTTATAGTTATACAGGGTGGTCAATAACACGAATTGTACTTTTTCTAAAAAATTTCAAATGCATCATCCTGTATATTTGTGCACGTTTGGATTCACTTTTTTTATAAGCTTTTTTTGGTATGAGGTTTAACTCAGATGTAATAACAAAAATTTGGGTTATTAAGCTTTTAATAGAACAACACACCAAAATTAAGGACAAAAATCACATCATCCATGGAAACAAAAGACAAACAGTGGGCTAATTCCATATTGCCACTAAGAGTACAGATTTGACGTAAAAACTAATAACGATCAGAACAGTATTCAGCTTCAAGCGTAATAGAGAAAAACAACTATATTAACAACATAAACAAAAAATAAATTATCACTACTCAAGGGCTAATCTACAAAAACTGCTCGAAAATATCTCCATCGTGTTGAATTCACAGCCCGAGTCTTTGGATGAATGACCGTTGCACATTCCTCAGCATGTGTTCCCCTAAGTTCAGAAAAGCATCCTCAATCGTTTCTTCCATATTTTCCGGGGTAGATAGTGGATATCTATAAACCTCTTGCTTAACGTAGCCTCATAGAAAGGATTCTATCGGTGACATATATGGTGATCTAGGAGGCCAAGATATAGGCCAACATATAATGCGAGATGCTAGGAAACTATTTCATTGGGCTTCGCCCAAAGCGAACACCATATTCACCATTTCTTCTTTAGAAAAATTCATTTTCAAACCCGTTTTTTAATAATAATTCTCATAAAGGTAATTTTGACAGTTTTTAACTAACCAACAATTCCAGGGACGATGCGATATTTTAAGGAATTAAGACGTTCCATAGAAGACGTGCTAATAACCGAAAAAATAGCCGTAAAAACCTTATGTGTCTAGTATCAAAAAAAGCTTATGAAAAATTGAATCCAAATTTGCACAAATATCCAGGGTGATGCATTTGAAATTTTTGAGAAAAACTGCAATTTTTATAATGGTGAAAGGTTAAATAAGGTGAAAGCTGAGGTGTGTAAGTTTTTTTTTGCTACAAAATTCAGCACTCCAAATTTGAAAGTGACGGAATGAGGGGTTGCCGAAATGGGGGGTTTTTCTAGACAAAACACCTCATATCTCAGTAGCTAATTACCAAAACCCCATAGTATGTTATATCAATTTTCTTCTTATATCAATTTTCTTCTTTTGAATTGGTTTATCCAAAAATGCAATAAAATTTGAGGCATTCTATTTGAAAAATCATAACTTTGATATGTAGGTCGAAATTGGCACATCCTGTATAATGGCCAATATTTTATAAATGTGCCCTCAAATGTCATGTATAACATGCCATAAATAGATTTTCCCAAAATGTATTTGTTTATGAGTAATATTCCGTCCACACATGGATGGGCCACCCTGTATATATATTTAACTTGAGTCGTGGTCATGGTGTCTAGACCAGTTAGGTGAAAAATAAAGCTTCCTCCTTTAGTTGGGTACTTCGACAAAATTCAAGCAATGAGGACTCTTTATACTTTATTAGTCTCTAGCTTTCAATGGACTATGCCATCATCATCAGGAGCTGCAGTAACATTAAGAAGAATTAACAACTATTGTGAAAAATGATTTCAAATTACTTACAATAGTATGTGAGGTTGTTGCTAAATGTTATTAAAGGTTAAGTTGAGGGAAACCTTTAGTAACTTGGTGAAAGCTGGATCTATGGTACATGCGTTAAAATTAGTATAAAATACACATAGCTGTATGTCAGGAACACATCAAAATGGATTAAAAATATTTGGAACGAAAGTTAAAATTATCATAGGTTACATCGTGAAACAACCTGATGCTGCACAAAATGGTGTGGCACAGGATCAGAAGTAGAATGAAGAAAATCTGACAAATGTTTCATTCTACTTATGATCCTGTGCCACACCATTTTGTGCAGCATCAGGTTGTTTCACGATGTAACCTGTAATATATAATAATTTTAACTTCCGTTCCAAATATTTTTAATCTGTTTTGATGTGTTCCTGACATACAGCTGTGTGTATTTTATAGTAATTTTAACGAATGGTTAACCAGGTTACTAAACGTTTCCCTCAACTTAACCTTTAATAACATTTAGCAACAATCTCACATACTATTGTAAATAATTTAAAATCATTTTGCACAATAGTTGCTATTTCTTCTTAATGTTATTGCAGCTCCCGATGATGATGACATAGTCCATTGAAAGCTTGAGACTAATAAAGTATAAAGAGTCCTCATTGCTTGAATTTTGTCAAAGTGCCCAACTAAATTAGGAAGCCTTATTTTCCAACTATATATATATATATATATATATATACGTATATATATACATACAATGTAAAATTTACTTGGCCATTCCTTAGTTCACCCAGATCATTTATAAATAATATAAATAAAAAGAGGCCCGAATGTAGATCCTTGGGGAACTCTCATATCATATCATATCACCATATGAGGCGTGGTAATTCGTGATGTACATGCCATGCAACGTCCAGTCAACCTAATGCCTTCCTTCCAAAAATGTTCACGGTTACAAAACCTCCTCACTATCTGACAGGAAGTAAATATCAACTTCATTTCATTCTAAGAATATTGAAGTAAATCGGTCGGTCATACAAGCTACTGTAGAATATAACAGAAAAAGTTCTTATAAACGTGTATCCTAAAACCCCCCTTGCCGAGATACAGTGTGTTCGGATTACAATTTCGAAGTCAAAAAATACATATATTTTCGGAGTGGATCAACATATTGACTTGAAATGTTGTACATGTAACACTGACGTCATAGTCAAAGGCACAGAAACCGTTGTGCCTGAAACTACACGACTGGTGTGGAGATTGGGACATTTCTACGGAAGGGGAAAGAAAATTATTTTCCACGCCACTGACCTCTTTAAGATATCTATTGCATTTTTAATAGGGTACACAATTTCAGATGAGTCTCCTTTCTTGATAAAGGTTTGCCGGACGATTCCTTTTGGAGAAAAAGCCGGTCTATATACCTGAATATCCGTATACTTCAACCCGTTGAAAGTATTCTGACCTTAGTGAAGTTAGACATTAAAGCTGTTTGTAGTATCTCACCATAGTGTTATTTAAATAGTGTACATGTTTTGTCTTTGTTCGGTCTCATCAATAGCCTAGACATTTACAATACTTGGTATTAAGACATTTTAGAACCTATGCTTATGAATTAACTTTACTGTTAATGTTTGATGTTATTCCCACTCTAGAAATATTGCCACGTTTTTTTGATACAGCCTGTATCTCAGAGAGTGGGTTCCATATTCATATCATTGTCTCTTGAAGAAGGTTCAGCATGTCGACCTGCAACTTTCTTATTGTGATGTTAAGGATGGAAGATAGGGTCATAGGATCAAGAAGGTTCCACATTTACGAGTAACATTTAAGTTAATTGCATGATATTACTTCTTATCTTAGTTCTGGTACTTAATGTTTTTCTAACTTCGTAATGGAATTCAGATACCTCATAAAACCCAAAGTTTCACGAATACGTGTTTCTGCGTACGTTGCTGCTATAGTGCTCCTTTCTTGGCAAAAATAAGTCAGGGTGTGGAGTTGTTTGTGGATACAGGAGATTTTGTGGAATTTTGAGAACTTTTACGCGCTAGTGCAACTAAACTAATTGGTCTAGGTCTGCAATTTCCCTCTATCATGATTTACAAGGTTGGTCTTGCTAGCTGTTACACCATTTTTCTATGCGGCTCAATAGACATCACCGCAAAAATTCTATATATTTTTTTACGAAACTCGCTTTCATCCATCAATTTTGGATGATGGTAAAAAAAATGGAAATTATTTTTTATTATGTATTCTCTTGTAAACACTATTACAGCCCTGATAATTATATCGTCATACGATGTGCAAAGAGCTGACTTTGATAAAATTACGCATTTTTAACACAATTTTCAATCGCGACAATGCTTATGGTTGAAGTCCAAAAGAAGGTGCAATGGCTCAAATTGTGCTAGGCTGTGACATGCCGCCAGATGCAACTTTGTGCATGTGAAATATTTTGGATTCATAGTCACTATTCCAACAGTTCAGCAAATAGAAGAACTCCCGACCAATAACACGGGGTAACTGTGCCTCACCCAAATACACAAAATTGCGAAATCTACATCAAGTGAGAAATATTCACGTTGGAAGATGACGATTAAACTTTCTAATTTCTAATTGCGAGAATCGTATCACGACCTGTTCGAAAAAATTGCAATAAAATCATATCTAATAACTGAAAAGCCAGTCATAGAGATATAGAGACTCTTGAAAGTTCAAGATAAGGTTATTAATAGAAGTTCTGATTTTATATGCCATTTACTAAGTCTCCAGTGACAAAATAATATGTCATTACAAATTTCGTAATTTATCGTAGGTAAGTACCTCTATTTTCCGCAGTGTAAAAATTTAATTAGGTACTAGAATTCGTTTCTTAACTTGCGGGCTCCGCAATTTCAGTACTATAGATGGATTATTTGGAGTGCTATCTTATCGGAAATATTATAATTACCCACACTACGCATTATATTTTGCTTGTTTGGTGCTCCGGGTGCTTGTGTAAATGTCTCCAGAGCTGACAATTTTCCATGTTTGTGGCCAGAGGGGAAGTCAGCTACCCATCTGCAAAGCTTCTCTGTAAGGCCATATCATTAAAGCTTGTGTAAGAGGACAGCATGCCACAGCTAATCGAGGGCTTTCGTGATATCAAAAGCAGCGACACGAGCCTCATCATGGTGCTGAATGACTTTTCCCAACAGTTGCGTGACGTAAGCTAGGTCCTGGCTAGCGTCAGCGACATATAGAAGCCAGAGATGCTTAGAGATTGTTTCCTATACTTCGAGGCAGAGAATGCCAATAAAATTAATTTCGATCTGCTGCTTAACCCAGAACAAGGTTAAAAATGTATACTTAAGAACAGCTATTTTTTTGCTTTTCTAAACTGTGTATTATTTTTCTATTACTTGTTTGATATGCCAGTACTTTGACCAGCAATAACTTATTCATGAGATCGATATCGGTTGCAAATATTTGTTTTTAAGTTACATCAGACTGCGTGATTGATAAAAATCAAAGCGTTCGTAGACTTATAGGAAAACAATACAGTTGAGTGATAAAATTCAAGTAGGACGATATTTATATCACACTCATTGAACTATTTGTGAATGGTGTCGAATACGAAAGAAATCATAGGTATGTATTGAAATAGGATGTTTGAAGTTCCTAATTCGTACTCGTACTAGTTTCACTCCTGTGACCACATCGGAGATGGGCGTTTTACCAACGGTTGGGCCACGTCGGTAGCTTTTTCAAAAGACAAATCACAAAATGACAATATTGTCATTGTCAAAATGTCATTCTTTAACTTGTACTTCCAAAACCGGCTCCAAGGTGGCTGAAATCTCAGTAAATCGTCAAATGTTCATCTGTTTATTTGAGGGCCAATGAAACGTGGGGATTCATCAGCGACATATCCACAGCATGAGCTTTAGATGTTACATTCCTCCGCCTTATCTCAAGTTCATATCTGACTTTCTCAATAGTTGTTCATCTGATATTATTTCTGGCCAAAATATTTGTAAAGCTCTGCGTAGACATGTATTGATGGGGTCGCTATCCATTGGCTTTCGTAGTAGCTCATGTGTCACAAGTAGCTATATTTAACAGCCATTAGAAGTGCGGGGTCAATCCGACTGAAGTCTCGCTGAAAAAAAATCGTTTTTGTTCTGGAGAAGTCAAGTCCAAACATAAAATGCTTTTCCGGTAGTTGCTTCACTATGCTTGTTAATTTCATATCCAAAACGTGCTCAGAGATTTCAAAATCTTTTTGTTGTTTAGGTCTTCCACATCTTAAAAACTTATCTATTGTACATATTATAATACTTAGCGACTGCTAAGTTTCTCTATAAGAGCTTATTTTAGAATTTCATAGCAGCTGGGAAATACATCTGTAGATATTTATTACAAACGATTCAACAAAGAAATGATTCAGCATTTGTTATAACGGTGGTTAAGTAGTAAAACTTTGAGATCGAACAAGTGATTATATTTTTATAACTTGCGCCGTCATAAATTAAACTGTCTTCAGTTAATCAGAAGGAAGCGCCCGACAACACCGCATTTTTGACAGACAAATAGCTGTCATTTCGCTACACAAAATTTCATTTAAGGGTACCATCTGCATTCGTAACGATCTATTTCAGTTTTCATTTGTCGATTGATTCTTTTAATGTTGTGTTTGATTTTTTTTCTATTTGGTATGAATATGGATATGAAAAAAGGGAATAAACAAGAGTTTTTATCACAAGAAAAGATGCTTACAGCAAGCATTCTAAATATAAGAACGTAATCGAAAATAAATAAACACGTCATATCTTCTGTAAAAGAATAGTAAAACCAGGAAGCGTATAGTAAATGAAGCTGCAGATTAATGAAAGGCATATGAGTATATGTATAGTAATGCATACTGGTTTTTTTATACTTGTCACTAATACAATAATTATTGTTAAGCATCACAGTTATACGAGAGCCTTCCATTCAGCTGTATAGTCTATGAAATATAGAAACATCGTTAGGGCAAATTGTTAGTAGTGGTGAAAACGTGTGAAAAATGTTGCTTTACGTTTACGAGAATATGGGACGTGCCAGGGAAAAATGTTCCACTGCAATTTTTTATTTAACCAAGTAGTTTTATTGCCAGGGTAATAAAATTTGACCGATTTTTTCAGCCCTGAAACAGCAGCAGATTTAATTTTCTAATTCCAAAAACGGTCAAGTTATTGCAATAAAACCGCTAAAAATCAAATAATTTACTATTGGTCACGTCTATTCACATAACATTCACCTCAAATTCTGTGACAAGTATATATCCTGACACGATATAAAAGCACAATAAACTCCAAATCAAAGTATCTTAGATTTTTATTTTTATTGCAGTTTCTGAAAAAAAACAGGATTTTTATGAAAATCTGTTTTAAAACCCAGCCCTACGAATGTTGGCTGTTGCTCATTTTAAAAAGAAGGTATCGTAGCTTTATGGCAGCTAAACATAATTCTCTTACTGTGATTTAAAAAATATAGAATAATATTTTCAAATTTAAATGGCTAAAAATGGACTACAATGCAATGAAAATTAATGTCTTGATTGATCAACCTTTTGTTGTTATTAGGTATTGAATGCTATTCCATAGTCTACTTGAAAAGAAAACTAACTCTTCAGTGCAGTGGAGATGATTTTAGATGTACAAAATATCACCAACGCCAACGGTTAGTTATAAATATTGAAACTTACAGTATGAGATTATGGTTAATGAATTATGTATACAGTGCTTCTCTTTAATGTCCCCTCCCCTTTGATTTTTGGAACGGATCAATTCAAAAAATTAAAACTTGATACCATATTTTAGAGTAAAATTGACAGATAAAAATGTTAAGATGGGCGCCTTCTTGGGAAAAAAATTATATACAAACGGGGGTCTTGTGGCAAATCACTTTGAAGCTCCTGACGATTACTTCATAACCCTGGAATATAACGTCAATACCTTTACCTATTACAAAATGGTGGTAAATTTAATAATTACTTGAACACAAATCCACTATGAGTACATGCATATCTCTACAAATAATTGTAATTCCCTGCCGTATCCACAGCAACAGCGAGAAAAACTTGTTTTGTTATTTTTTGTTGACAGTGACAAGAATATCAGTACGAAAACAAACATCATTGTACAGATAAAATATTCTTATTAGTTTTCGGTTTTAGTGCTAGATTCTGTTTGAACTGTTTTTAAAATGGTCAATTCTCCTCCATTGGAAGAAAAAATCGGAGCGATTTTTGTTTATGGTGCGACGCGTAACTTTCACGAGACCGAAAGGATTTTTAATGATCGTTTCCCGAATCGTCCTATCTGTAGAAAATATTTAAGGGAACTTGTATCTAAATTTACAGCTACTGGTAGTGTAAACAACAAAAAGCCCCCAGGTCGTCCGACCATCCCGGAAGAAAAGCAAGTTCAAATAATTGGTGAGATCGTAGTAAATCCCCAACAGTCTACTTCCTCCATAGCGAGGTTCGTCCTTCTACTGTATGGAGACTTTTGAAAAAGAATAGGTATCACCCATAGAAAATTCAAATGGTACATCAGCTAACTGAAGATGACCCTGATCCAAGAACAGAATTCTGCAAGACTATGACGGAAACCATTGCTCGGCATCCTACCTATATCCAAAATATTTCTTCTGGTGATGAATGTATGTACATTTTTTCTCAACGGTAATGTGCATAGACAAAATTGTCGTTGTTGGAGTGACACCAACCCTCACGTCTTCCGGGAAACTCATACTCAATATCCACCAAAAATTAACGTTTGGGCTGGGATATTCATCGAACAAGCTCTAACAGGGGAACAGCATTTGTATATGCTGGAAAATACTATTGACACTCACCGAAATCGTCGAAGCGAATCCTAATGAATTCGATACTATTATTATATTCCAGCAAGATGGTGCTCCACCACACTACTGCAGGCAAGTTAGGAGTTATTTAGATAACAATTTCCCTGGTAGTTAGATTGGCCGTCGAGGACCTGTGGAATGGCCAGCTCGCTCGCCAGATTTGATACACCTTCAGACTTTTTTATGGAGCTATTTGAAGCAGAATGTGTACTAAACTGAACCTACTTTAATATTGAATATACGGCTGAGAATAACAAATATTTGTAGAAATATCGATGTTACTAGGATTGAAAATGTTCGACGCAAATTACGGCCCAGCGGTTATTGTGTCAAGAAGTTCAAGGCAACCATCTAGGGTTATAAAGTACTCGTCAGGAGCTTCAAAATTATGTGCCACAAGACCCCCGTTTTCATATAGTTTTTTTTTCCAAGATGGCGCTGAGCGGCCATCTTGACATTTCCATCTGTCAATTTTACTCTAAAATATGGTATCCACGCATTAATTTCATTACCCAAAGTTTTAATGTTTTGAATTGATCCGTTCAAAAGATGAAACTGGAGGGGGACATTAAAGAAAAGCACTGTTTAACTATATTATGTTGTTACACTTCCAGACCTACTAATTTTTTCAAACATACCTTTTTGTGATTGTGATCGAGTATTTAAATTTAGTTGCCAACCTGTCAAAGTCACGTAATTGAAAGGTCTCCATGATTGCCTTGCCGCTAGATCAATAATCTGTAGGTAAATTTTGGTAGTTTAACATCTCGACATCGCGTAGGCAGTTGGCGCTTCCACGCGAGAACACACGGGACCTGCCTTGTTGCCGATTTATCTAAGTAAAAGAAGATCGCTATAATTTCTCTGCATGATATGTTTATTACTTTTAATAAAGATACTTCGATGTAGTTTGTAACATTTTTT